TCTGAAACCTGCAAATATAAGTCCATTTTGTATAAATGCAAAAGTATTGTTCTTCGTCTGTGAATTATTATGGTTTTATATGTTTTCTATGTCTGTACAAGGCTCAGACCGAAAAGTAAAGCTGTCATGGTCAAGCTCAGCCTGAGTCAGGACTCCAAGCTGTCCAGCAGATTTTCTGTGTCATGCAATAGCTCTGTGTCCCCAGCTATAAATGATATATAATAATGACAACCTATGTTTCTTGTAGAGACTTTCCACAGCCCAGAAGTGTCCAAAACATGGATAAAGACTGTAAGCAAGGCCAAGAACAGCAACGTCCATCTGGCCTACAAGGCACACACCTGAGGTACAAATGAAATCATAAAAAAGAAGCTTCGTAAGTGCTCATAAAGGAATAAAGGTATTCCCTTCTGTTTGTAGAAAGTTTTCAGATATGCAGTTCTAAAGTGCTTGATAAGAAAAATTGTTCCTGATTTACATCTCCTGAAATAGATTTAATTAGTTATGGAGTATCATAAAATGCCTAAGAAGTAGCCACTTGCTGATGTATTCACCTGGGAGCAATTTGAGGAGCTGTTCTTCAGCCCTGCAGACATGCAAGATGAAAGAACAGACAGATCATTAGCCAACAATGAAATTAAAAAGAAAAATACAGTGACTAGAAAAAGCAATTATCATCTCCATTAAATTTTATCTGATTCATTATCAAGTGTGGCTGGACAAAAGGACAAGAATTAGTGTCCCAAAAGTTCCTTGGTGAGCTGCTGCATTCAGGACAAGAGGAGATGAAAGGCAGCTCTCTGCACTGAGGGCTAGGTAGGACTCTGGTATATCAAATCCCTTGTTTCTAGGATCAAAAAGTATTCCCAGGGAGCTGGAGAAATAAAGCTACCATTGATGAATAATTCACAGACAGGACCTGAATTTGGAGTTGCTACTCAGACCTGAAATGAATAGCTGTTTTGCCTACAGAAGAGCTGTGGGATCTCTAAATAAAGTCATATTTTTCATAATGTGTATGAAGCAGCCAGCAACAGTCCTCTTTTGTTCTCCATGGGCAATCCTCTTCCAGGGCAGACACTTGCTTCTGCTGACTGTTACTAATCGTGTGGTTTGGTGAGCAGCCACAAAATCTTCCTGGGTTCCACAGGACCAGATATCCATGGCAAGGTGCTTCTGAACTTCCTCTCAGATCCAGGTGGTGACTCCTGTGCCAGTTACACCTCAGTGACTTCCCAAGCCATGGCACAGTGACCTTCACCTATTAAGGTAACTTCTTTAGACTTATTAGGGCTACAGCTATTTTACATAGAAAAATCATTAAAATACTTGACTAAACCACCAAGTGCACAAGTAATTTTCTAGCTTATGCCCTTAACTGTACCCGGGACTATTAGTAGATCATTATGCTCCAAGAATGCTATGTCAAATGAAAATCTCCAAACTAAGAGGATAAAGTTTATTTTCAACACTCTCAATGTCTGTGATTAACGATGTATATTTCTTATTTCTATTTTTCAGGCTTGTTCTAAAGAATAGATCATATTTAATGTCCACCATATGGGAAACAGCCCACCAAATGAAACACTTATTGGGATAATTCCATGGGTATTCAGAAGAATGCAAAATTAATTAATTTTCCTTCTGTTTCTCAAAATGTACCTAGACAGAATAGGAAGTTTTATGAGATGCTAATTTTCTTTCTTTCCCCAAATACCATAAGAATAATTTTCTTGATTTATTTTCTATTTCAGATTCTTGTCCTGATCAGAAATGAAAAAAAATCAAAGGATGAACAAACATGAAAGGTTAGCAAAACATATTTGCACCTCAAAAATGTTACATTTGCAGTTTTGGAGAAATCTAAATGTCATTTCATGCAAACAGATTTTCCCACAGCTCTCCTTAATTCTTAGAGAACATGATAACAAGGATACAGTAAAGAGATGAAACTAGGATTAATGAGACATAAGTGAAGCACTTAATAGTCGAATCTGTGGGATGATATGCACAGGAAAATGATGAAATGGCCATGAAACATGATTCAAGAGTAAACTTCACAAAAAGAAAATATGTATCACTGGAAATATATTTGCATTTTAAGAGGAGATAATTGAATAACCCAGAAGAGCATTTCCATTTATAATTATTTGCTACTGTGAGTCAATGACTAGATCCTGGATTTTGTGAAAATATTTCTGTACACTGCACCAAAGAGATCAAAAGTCATCCATTTTTATGCTAACGTAAAGGAGTACAATCTCAACACAAGATCTGTCTGCAAGAGATCTTCATAGAAATACAGCATCCAATTAAAAGTAGACCAATACTTCAATTGACATAAAGCTCTACAGCAGCATGCACATTTGCTGTGTCCTACATTTTCTTGTTCAATTCTTTTTAGTTAATTCATTGCTCAGGTGAAAAATCTGTTAATTTTGTTTGCTGATAAACACAACCTGTATTTTAACATTTCCTCTCAAACAGGATCCTAGATCAGGAGTACAGAGCTAAAAAGTACCCCACACAACAGAATACTATGAGAGAGGCTAAATTATTTTGAAGTATTCTTGACAACTAATTAAAACACTGAGAGACCTCTAATGTTCCTTTTGCAAAATAAGGGCTATTTGTTCGTTGGTCCTAACATTTTTCCTTGGAGAATAGTTTATTCTTTTAATGCTGTGATTTTTTTCTTTAATCACAGTGATGAAGATTTTTTTTTCCCCGTTGTTTGTCACACTGAACCACCAATCACAGTTTTGAAATCCTTTCTCTTGAAGGAAAGACATTCTATTCACAATGATAGCACTCTGATATAACAGTCTTAGCTGATGGTAAACATAAGGGGGATTATCAAGATGCCATTATTTTTCAAAGATATTCCTGAGAGCAGATGAGTTTGGATTTTAGATTAGCATTAAAGTTGCTTAAATATAACATGTTTCATAGTTCTGATATAAAAACTAACTTATGAGAAACACAGTCTCTCTCTGTATTACAAGGTACACAGTTCCATAGTGACTTTGAAAGGTGACTTTTGATTACTTTCTTGGTGTATGGTTCTTACTATACAAATAGTAGAGATTTTTTGGATTCTGAAAGATTCTTTTGTTGAAGGTCAATTAATAAGCTTCAAGCAGCCTGCTTTTGCCCTACTCCTTTGTCAGATTAAGGACTCCACCCTGTCTGACAGCATGAACCACCAACTGGGGCTGCTCATTGCACCTTGTCAATGAAACAAGTTTACAGGTTCTAGCAAACTAGTCTACTTCCTAGAAGGCAGCACTCTGGCACAGAAGGACAGAAGTACAGTCGAAAACCACTAGGCTTTGAGATAGGACAGGTAGCAATAAAAAAGAAGAGACAGAAGTCAGGTTTTTCCTTCCTTTAGGCTCTACTGACAAAGTTGTATTAGAAGTAGGATCCACTGCATTGTTAAAAGGGTTCAACACCTGGCTGGACCTTCTGTAATTTGCTTTGACTACCAAGTGACCAGGAGAAGGAAAGGAGGAAGACAGCAGCATTTGACACCAGCTGCCATAGGCTGAAGAAGTTCTTGGAGAAAGTACTGTGGCTTTACCTGTACTTGATTTATGCTACTATTTATAAGACTAGGATTTGATATATGAATGAATACAATACTGAATTTAGCAAAGGCAAAAAATGGTATTATGAGGACAAAATAGGCCTCCAAAGAGATAGCTGCCATCCTAAGCTCCATGTTGGGCTCCAGGGCATGCAAGCATCTGTCCCCAGCACTGGCCCATTGCTCAGGGGACAGGGGAGCATCCAGCCCCGCAGCCATGGCAGCCATGGGTCGACAGACAGCCCTACTCATCATCTCCATCCTCCTTCTGGGAGAAGGTGCAGCTGGGGGAGAGGTTCAGCCCCTCTCCCCTCTGGGGTCCTTCACAGAGACCAGCCTGCACAAAGACTGTAGATGTGACTCGCCACATCCCTTCCAGGGCTGTGGTCACTGCAGATGTCTCCACCAGCTGGGAAGACCAACTGGGTAATGCTTAATAAACATTAAATTACCTTAATCCTCATACCCTCAATAGAACCAAGCACTGACCAGATTTGGGGAACACGTATTTTACCTTGAAAGATGGAGCAAGAAGCCTTGCTAAGGATACAGACAGAGCCTCTCAAACATTACGTATGAAGTGTTTGAGTCTCAAAAGGATACTCAGAGGAGTGTCACAGCTGTTAAACAGCCCTGTGCCAAGTACTCAGCACAGTATCACTCTGAGACATTACACTCTTCAGGCACCACCTGGGTGAAGGGCATCATCTGGGCATCCCTAATGCTACCAAGAGATCCATAATAAAATTGAACCCATCATGATGCACTCTTTGTCCTGAATTACTTCCAAACTGAGATACTTAACTATGACCTAGAACATCAGCTGTATTATGTATTTATCCCTTCCATCAATAGACTGGTACAGCATGTGACTACACACCATTAAACAGCTGTTGGCTTTCCAGCAAAGCTGGCTATCATTCAGCCATGGATAAAATAATTATGTATAGCATTTCATTGTGCCTGGCCATCCTGAGACAGCTGCTCAAGCAGTAAAGAAACAGATTTCAGGACCTCAGCCCCATTTTTGAGGTGTCACATGACCAGCACACTCCAGCACAAAGAGCTGGGTAGTAAGATCTCTTTTTAACTCACAGATGACTGTGTGCAATAAAGCTCATGATGAACTTCAATCTGAGGCAGCGAATTTGGCGTGGTTTTATAATGCTGCATTTTTTTAATAAGGCATCCAACTCTAGAGCTGCTCTGGGTAATCCTAATAGGTACCTAATGATTTTCTTCATTTTATTCTTTAGGCTTGAAGTATAATAATGTTACTGTGCTACATGTGCTCTGCAGATAAATCTCTTTCTATTTATTGTTTTCTGATTGCCTCTTGGACATTATGTATTTTTTCTTCACACTCTATCTCATTTGTAAACTGTGGTTGAGAACAATTTATGAAGAACCATTTGAACCAAGAAGCATTTTTAATGAGTATATTTTGCAAAGGGCAACAGCACCACGAATAACACCAATTAATAGCTTTATTTGATCTAGGGAGTAGGAAAAAGCAAATAGAAACTCAGATATTGATTTGTCCAATGGTCTGCCTATTGTAGAAAAGTAACCCTATGTGTTCTCCATCTTCAATTTTAATTTCTTTGCGTAGCATATGCAAGTACAACATCTTAGCAGAAATAGAAATTGGAAAATTCTCTTTCTCAGTATACAGTGAACAACGTTTCTTCTGGCACTTGATGAGAAGCAACTTTAGTTTTAATACTGCTGAAAAAACCTTGATTGGAGAGGCACATTGTCATTTCTTGCTTATTTGCTTAATATCTACAAAGTGATAAAGCAAAATATTAGACTGGCCAGTTTAATTTTGAAAGAAGAAAACAAGCAAATAATTTTTACTTCTTTAATGTTTTCCCAGCTGTGCTTCTTTATTTCCTGCATTTGTCAAAAGCTTACAATTTTCTTTCTCTCCCTGCCCCTTCAAGACCTTACTTAATGACTTAGTAAGCAGGATCCTCATGAGTAAATGAGGATGCATGGAGAGTAGAAGAGGGCAGGTTTCACAGTCAAGGGCAAACAAGCCCTGACCAAAGGTCTGTAATTCCCACACGGCCACACAGAGCCTGTCATTTTGCAGCAAACTATGAGTTTGTTCTGCATTAGCTCTCTTTCCTTCAGTATTGATGTCAAATGCACTGATTCCCTAACTCTTGAGCAACCCTCCTAGCACAGCCTACCACATTTGCTACTCTAATTGTAAGATTTACTAGATTTTTTGTCATGACACCTAGCTTGCCTCTCAGAGCTTTCTGATGGTATTCTGCTCCCCCTGCCCCCTTCTTGCACTTCACATGAAACAACAACAGATAGCCCTGGCACATGATTTTCCCTGTGTCACAGAATGTCATAAAAATTAAAATACACTTCTTCACTAATACTGTAGATTTGAAACACAATTTAATATAGAACACAAAGATCATAGAGATACTTCTAAAATATGCCAAATAAAAATTTTTAAAAATGGGGGCTTTGACTATATTCATATCTATTTGGTATTAAAAAAAACAGATGTGGAGAAATAATTGTACTCAGGACATTTTCAGGGCTGCTGTAAGTCACTCTGTCTTCACACACCCTGAGGGACTACTGTCACACTGAGAAGCATCACAAATACAGCAAATTTTACTATTGTGATTTCCTGGATGTAACTTTTTATATGTAGGACACCTGGTAAGGGGGAATAACAGGGAAATTCCCCTGAGCCTCAGGGCAGGCAGCGATCCAGCTGTGCCAGAAGATCTCCTGCACCCTGGTCACTGCCTCCTCCTTCTTCCCAGTTCCTTGTGGACAGCTCCAGGACTCTGCAGCCACCAGGACTGGCTCTGGGTTAAAACAATTAAGGAAAGCAATGAAGGCATTTCAGATGGCAAGGACAGAGCAGCTGCAGAGAGAAAGAGACAGAAATGAGGATTTGGTTTACCACAGAACCACAAACTGTTTCAGTGAGAAAAATTTGCTCCGAGTGTTTTTCCACAGGGATGCTTCCTGATCAATAGAAGTGAATGCCTAACTGACTTACCAGCATGCTCTGCTTTGCAAACTAAATTAATAACATTTCTCAGGTATGTGAACTTTAATACCAATATGTGTTTGGATTTCTTCCAGATTTGATATTTACTGTGAATTTCCTGTATTTATGTTCTGGAATTTCCTCTGTAAAACAATTTGATATTTACAGATAGTCACATAACCCTCTAGTAGAGCCAGGTAGTGTTGTTGTTGCAACAATATGGTGCTCAAATGCACAGATTCCGTATGGTGAGTCAGTTAATTGCAACCATGGTGGACCTGAAAGTCTGATGTGACTTATAAAAAATACTAATTGTTAGTTACACCAAGAGCCAAAACTCACTTAATATACCAACAATAAACATTTAGTGCAGCCTGATAAAATTTCTTCTTGTGGCCAAATCCCAAAAGGCCACTCCAGAAGGGGACCACAGGGATCTTCTCTTTGATGAACCCATCAATCAGGGAGAGGAGGCAGTGGTACCCCTGAAGTCAGTTGCAAGCTCAGCAGGGCACAGACTTCATATGAGTTTCTGCTTGCAGTGTGTTTCTGTGGCAGATATATTCTTTGCTCTCCAGATAACTAGTTTTCAAGGATATTAGAGGTGTTTTGCTGTATGTTAACCTCCAGTTATTACAGCTAGTGATGCTGCCTGCTTTGTGCATGCCCCCACCACCACTGTGTGGATGATCCTATCCTGCAGGGACTTTGCCCATCCATCCCCACCTTGCAGAGCACTGGGTCCCTGCAGTAATTCAGAATGAAGGGCAGGATCACTGGCTAGCTCTTCCTCTCTTTTTTGTCTATCCCCTGGATGTTTCAGTGTGTATTGAAAAAGCAAAACTGAGCAACCAGCCTCCAGCTGGTTCTGCATTATTCTAGGCAGGTATTATGGAGGCAGGGGAAGACGCACTTTTATTTGGGGCTCACAGAAGTGCAGTATTTCCTTTTAAATATGCATAGACAATTTAAAAAGAGAAATACTACAATTGCTTCAGGACTGCCTTTGGCTCTGATTAGAAACAGCTGAGCAAAGTTAAGTGCTCAGCTGTTTCTGCAAAGAGATTAACACCTGTTGAAGATGGAATAAAAATATGTGACAGAGTTTAAGAGCAAATATGAAAAGATCATTATTGTAAAACTAACAGTAACACCAGTGACTGATCACATCCCCACCCTGTCATGCTACATCACTCCTGGGAGGTAAAAAAAGCACATTAACACATCTACAGCACTTAAGAAATATGTACACATATTTTAAGCTCTTTTCTCATCTGCAGCTGGGAAAATGGCTCCACGACTCTCTTATCCAAAGAAATTTACAGAGGGTGTCAGGTCATAACAAAATAACATCTACCCAGGCATGCCATATACAATTGAGGCAGACAGCTGTGTTATAGCATGTGTTGTTATAGTGCATATTAGTGTCCCATTTGGGGTAAGAGGAGCATCCTTAGTGTCTTACAGGACAACCTCTCTCCTAGAGAAAAGGTGTGTAAGGAGTGGCTGAGGTTCCTTGGTTTATCCAGTCTAGAGAAGAGGAGACTGAGGGGAGACCTCATCATGGTCTACAGCTTGCTCACAAGGGGAAATGGCAGGACAGGCACTGATTTCTTCTCTCTGGTGACCAGTGATAGGACCCAAGGGAATGGCATGAAGCTGTGTCAGGGGAGATTTAGGTTAGATATTAGAAAGTGGTTCTTCACCCAGAGGGTGGCTGGGCACTGAAACAGGCTCCCCAGAGAAGTGGTCATGGCACCAAACTTGTCAGAGTTCTAGAAGTGCTCAGTCAATATTCTCAGACATGTGGTGTGATTCTTGGGGTTGTTCTGTTCAGGGCCAGGAGTTGGACTCGATGATCCTTGTGAGTCCCTTCCAACTCAGGGTATGCTAAGATTCTATGTGTGATTTTCCAAATTTCTTTTCCTATGTGCTGCAGGGACAGTAGGAGTGTGTTTACCTGCCCCTCTCTTGGCTGAAGGCAGCTACCTGCCTCAGGAACCAGAGCTTCTCCTACACGCCACAGGGCCAGCCTTGCCCCAAACAGTACAGGGAAAGAAGGCCTGGCACTGCTGGAGCTCCCCCAACACCCTGACATGCTCTCCCAAGGCAGCAGGAAAGCACCAGGCCCCGTGGGATGCTCTGCAGAAGTCCCCCCTGTGTTTCCTGCCTGTGAGCTCACTGCATTTCTCTGAGGCTGATGCTGAAACTAAGTGACCTCACATTTTTTACCCCAAACCAGAGTTTCTTTCCTGATGAAGGCCAGTTGCAGGAGCAGTCAAAATAACAGTGTGCTCCACAGTTAATTAACACAGAACTGTGCAAAGTAGGGGCTACCAGGTGTACCACAGGGTATGGGGTTGCCCACATTTCCAGGGAGGGAAGCACTCCAGACACTGTTGAAAGGTTACACTTACAGGCTCACTCTCTGGGTAGGTGCCTCAGGAGTGCCCTATGATGCAGATATATACCAAAATGCACTGGACCACAGCTGTGAGCATGGTCCACCCATGCCCCAAGGTAAGGAGCCCACAGCCGTGACCACTGGTATGGTGGTGGTGGGGACACAGCCCAGGGTTGTGCTCTTCTCAGGCACTGATCAGACCTCCACAACATCAGGCATGGGAATTGTCACTAACTCCCCTCAAGAGTAAACATTGCAATTGTACCTAAGCTACATTTGTGTGTGTGCCAAAGCTGCCTATGGTGGTAGAGGAGAGCCCAAGCCAGCCAGGCTCCCCATTGGCATCTTCCCACCAGCTGCCAGAGACCACTGCCACGTCCAGTCATGTAAAAAACTGGCAGAGGTAAAGGTCACCCCTGACTTTCCTCTCCCTGCAAACTGGGAAACTGCAGCTTGCTTCTCTTTTGCAGGTGTGTCATTCTTCAGACTGTGCTCAGATGGAAAAACTGATGAAATGGCTGCTTCCAGCACACGTCACTGCACAGGTCCCCCACTCCCAATGGACGTAATGCCTCAAAGATTTACACCAGCTAAAAAATTTGATGCCTGTCTCCTCAAAGCCAATTTATTTTTATTCCAGGAGGTATAAATAATAGAGAGACCTGGGGTTTGTTGGCTGATCTCTTATTTATTTTCTCTGGTCATTTATTTCAGCTCAGTTTATTTCTTCCTCGGATTTCAATTTTTGCTCCGGATTCATTTTGATTCTAGTTTCCTCAAATATTATGCACATAAATTAAGTAGCACTATTCAGAAAAAAAAAGATCTGGGAGTCACCTGTGTAACCCAGAAGATACAAAAGGATGCAAAATGCAGAGAGCACAGAGAATGAGCAAAAATACTGACACTTTTATTCTATTTCATTGCAGTGTTGTATATGGAATGCTGTATTTCTTATGTTATTAAAAAAAAAAGTACACATAGGAAGGATTCTGAAAATATACTTTGAAAGGATAAAGAAACTGGAATATTATCCATAAGAAGACATACTATAAAGATTTAAAGAGAAAAATGAATAAGAGATGATATGCAGTCGGTATATAAAGGACTTTGAGAGAAAGTAATTCAATACATCCTTTTTCCATACAGTAAAGGAAAAAAGATACTAGTCCTGTGGACTAGAACTTTTTTCAAGATTTGGTGAAAGTATATTTATTGATTTAGATTGTCAAATTTTCACGAAGTCATTGGATAGGTTTAAAAGTAATTAATAATACAAATTAACACATTATACTTAGTTCTGTACTGTTCATCTTGAAATATCTTGCTTATACCTCTGGAATATCTAATATTATCATCTTCACTGTTACTAGCTGGACTAGGCTTACCAGGAATATAAATGCTGGGATTTCTGTAACTGTACAGCCTTTCCCAGGTCCAAGTGAGAAGAGCTAAAGCTGCCTATTTATTCATCAATGCAGTAGTTTCCTACTTGGAGCACTTGGTTTAAAAAAACATAACATTTTGCATGTCAAATACTGCAAATGAAAAAAGCAGAAAAAAGAGGCTACTAAAACTAAGACAAGGTTAATAAATCTTTTTAATGCTTGAACCGCTAGCAAGGAAGGGCATGCAAGGACAGACTTAGGGATATAACCATGACCAAAAAAGGATTTTGTGTCACCTAGTACAGAAGTGTAGAATTTAAAACATTTGAAATTATTGCCTGAACATGAATTTCCTTGGGCCAAAATACCATATTTCTGGTAATTGCTTCATACATTATCTACAATCACAAATTATTTCATTCTGCCATTCACATGAAAATAATCCAAGAACTATCCATGCAAGTTCAAGCCTATTTTTCCCTGGGCTGTCACTTTCAGATGTTTTTCACTCAGCATTTTTCACTGCTGGGTCCCCCAGCCAAATATGTCCATCTGGCTACGGCACATAGAATCAGAAAGAAGTAGCAGAACCCTCTGTTTACAGCTTATAATGATTCCTTCACTTCTGCAATTAGCACTGTCTATAACTGAAGGTGATCATTTAGTTCTGACATTCCTGTTTTAAGGGTCCCACATTTCAAGAGGCATCAGCTCTCACTGCTGGAAGAGGCAGACATGGTGCTGTCCTCACTGAACCCAAAAGTTACTGTATCAGAGAGAAATTGCCACCTACATCAATATAATAGTGTTCTCCCTAAAATGAGTCTTCAGAGCATCATTTCTGTACAAAACTTGCACAAGTAGTAATCAAAATGAAACTTCTGCTGATTGCCTAAGCTATCTGAAGTTCCCTGGTAATTTGACAAGCTACAATTAGATGCATGTTTTCCAGAGGGACACTTTGAGAGGGAAGCAAGACAAAGCAAATGAAGTATCCTGTGGAAATGGGAGTTTTCAATAATTCGCTTTTTCTTGTATTTATCAGTATAACCCTACCTATGTAGTTAGAGCTTTTGTTACTGCTCGTGACAAAAGCTTACCTGTACCATAAAGGAGGCAGTTTTCAGGTATCTATTTCCAGCACTGCAAGGCAGGCAGCTGTGGCAGCAAGTTCTGCAACTGCTTGGGAAGTCAAATGCTTGGCAAGGCCTTGGCTGTGGGCTGTTTCAAGGCAGGTTGGGCATGTCCATATGAACATTTGGAGCAGCTTTGGCAAGAGAGCAGATATGGCTACACAGTGCCATTTTTTCTCTACTAAAAACCACCACGTTATAAATACTGGAGCTGAAAAATGCTGATCCTCTCTGACCAGCAGTTTGGTTGAACAACCTTCTCGCAGAAGGCTGAGGGTGTTCATAGCCAGCAATGGCTCCACACGCCATTGTATGCTCCTTTGAGAACAGTCCAGCAAAAATCCAGAATTTGTTCCTCATGTTCTCAGGTACCAAGGTAAACATCTTGCCAAATGAAACAGCATATGGTCTGAAAAATAGTTATGATCTCTTTAGCAAGGGTTGGAGCTTTTTCTTTGAATTCGTCCTCTTTTTCCAATTTGTTCAAAGCAGAAATCAAACTGACAGGCTTAATAATTACAGGCAGTGTGCTTTGCCAAGCACAGTGTCTCTTTCCAAGCAGTGGCAGCTGAATATAGTAGGTAATTCCCAACCTCCTACCTCAAAGTGTGTAATCTCTGTCTTTCCTTGCTATATATTTCCTCAACTGCCAAGTATTAAACAAATATAGAAGAAGGAATGCTGTTGGGTTACATTTGAGACCTGAAAGTTTAGAATTTCTACTGATCAACATGAACAAGACTCTGCAGACAATAAAAACCCTTACTTATACCTCTATATAAAAAAAAAGAGTTAACATGTAAGGTAGCAACCTCCACATTTCAGCATTGCATGAGTTCATCTGTGCCCAGGTTCACTTGTGCAATTGAGTAAATTGCCAAAGAGAATGTAGGTCTCTCACTGTTCCTTAAGGTGAGGGAATTGGGGGAGGGAGGGGGGTGAAGAATACAGAAGGGAAAATTAAATTACATTTTAGAAAACGCCTCCATGTGTCAACCTGGGGAGTTTGATTTAATGTGGTAGGTGTTCTTGGAAGTGAGTATTCCAGATTTCACATGTTTTTTGAGCTTTAATTAAATAATTTGAAAAAGAATACCATATGTGCACAGACTTCTCAAGGGATAAGCATGTAAATTTCTATGTTGATATTTGCAGACTGTTGAACTCATATCAGCATGGAAGAAGGCTCAGGGATTTTTCATTTCTTCCAAATAACTGCCTGAGTAACTACCAGAGAAACTAAGTGGGCATCTAGTAATCTTTGTCATGTCCTTTAAGGTTCAATTTCCCCAACACAGGAGCTACTACATTACTGAGAAATTTTCCCAGAAAGAAAACACACCTTTTATGAGCATTTTTGTTCTCCCATAGTAATAATAAAAAAAAATTAAAGGACACATAATGCAGCAGTCAGTACCTATTCTAGCTGTGCAGTAAAAAGCAAAAGGAGCCCAGAAGAACAAAGGGAAGGCATGAATAAGTGCTAACACAGGCACCAGGTGGAGCGGTACAGCCATCTGTACCCTGACTGACTGACTCACTCAGCTTGTTTTTGTATACATCAAACACGAGAAAAACTCCACTGTTATGTGCAGCTTTGATAATACATAATTAGTTAGTGATTTAACAACCACCAGGGAAAAAAATAGGACAGTAATCATGGCAGGAGGAAAGAACGAAGCACCTCAAAAAGGAGATGAATTAGCCCCTGCAGCCAGCAATTTTTTGAACTCTTTTGGTAGTTTGTTGGACTGTAACAACAGAGGTGATTTTGGAAATAGGAGCAGTTCATAAAGTAGCAGTGCTGCTGATTGACATCCCTCTTCCAAACTAAAGAAGTGTTTGTGAATCTGTAGTATAGAACTCTCTTAAGGAAATATTTTAAAACTGGAATAACTACTGCAAGCACTGTTTTTCTGATCAGAAGCAGGAGGTGAGCGACAGCTACACAGGTGGGGGTACAGGGAGGCAAGAGACATCCTGACCCGAGGTTTCATTCTGGGAGAGACACAACTCTCTCATCAAAAAGAAAGTTCATCTCTGTTCCTTACACTGAATGAGATAAAAAGACAAGTCTTAAACATAAGAAAAATTGGTCCCAGTCCTCACTGCAGCCAAAGTGGAATTTGTCACTAGCATTACCTGATGTAAATATCCACTGAATTCTGCTATTAAAATGTCAGGAAATATTTTCTGATAGGAAGAAAGCACTGGAATTAGCCTTTGCCTTCATTAGAGGTACCAATTATAGTGATTATGTATTTATTAAAAAAATACCTAATATTTTTAGGGAAAAGCTCTGATGGCTTATAAATATGAACACATTTTTTTAGTCTGTGATAGCTGGGATCACAGACTGGGAAAAGAGCTTTTACCCAGTCACTTTATCATTCATTTTAGCTGCCTCTCTCTGCCAGAGAGGAAATTCAGTCCAAAAAACTAACCTGAAAGTTCCAATTTAACTCGCTCCTCTGTATTTCTGCTTAGGTATGTTCCCTTATGGAAAACTATTTTTGAACTAGTATTTTATACATAACTGCAATTTCCTATGCAAAACTTTGTGCAGGAGAAATAATAGCATCATGTTTCTAACTTGCAGACTCAATCTGGGCACAGTTTTGTGATTTGGTTTTTGGTTTGTTTTTTTTCAGCTGATATCTACAAAGCAAGAGATCAACTCTATTTTTCAAGTTTTATTAAAATAAAAAAATGGAGTTCTGGAGTTGGAGGCAATCCTAGACTACCAAAAATCTCAGATTTTTGTCCTTTTGCCCTCAAAACAATTCCAGATTGTGGGATTTCTGATTTGGAGATAATTTTATATTTAAGATTTCTTAATATTACAGTGTATTCTAAATTAAATTCAATTGTAAACTCAGTTTAATGTTTCAATGTAGAAGTGAAAAGGTTGATATAATTTTTCATAATTAAAGATTCATAAAGGCAGGTTTCTCTTTTACTGGTTGATTTTAATCCTGAGATTTCACTTAAAACATTAGTCAAAAAAGTAAACCTCACAATTTACTAAGTCTGAATGAACTTTATCAGAATAAAAATTACTGACCCAGAGGTTTTTTCCTTCAGCTACTCTTGTTTAGGTAAAAATTCTCCTTTCAGTTCGCCAGTCACCTTCTCTCTGTTGTTCTGCACAGTTCTGAAAAAAAAAAATAATATATATATGTGTGTGTGTGTGTGTATATATATACATTTATATGTCCACTGGAAAAAACCCCTGAAAATCTAAACATTTATTTTGTCCTTAATAAAATGGGAAATACACAATGCCTTAAATCTCATATATAAAAGCAGTAGTTCTTATGAGATAAAATGTGTATTGCCACCCCAGTTACACAGACAAAAAACATGGTGTAGTAGCTTGTTCAAAGCGAGAAGAAAGTCTGTGTGCATACCCTATAAGAAGGGTGAGAACTGAAGTTGCACAATTTTTTCCACAGTGTTGACACAATGTGGTCTACCATACCAAAAAATAGGAAAAAGATAGCAAAAAAAAGAAAAAAACAAACCCCAACAAAATTTTACATTTCAAAATTGGGCACACATGATATCAAATCACCAGCTTTCCGGCAGGAACTGTACTACCCTTTAGGTCATGCGTTGATCTCTTTGGAATTTTAACGTATAGCAGTGACTCTGGCAATAAAAATCAAAAGGATCAACAATGATAACAAGTTCAAAAATGGTAGTATGAAAATACAGGATTAAAATACAGTTTGGAAAAAATAGCTTATATGTAGACTGCATATAAAATGTAAGATTTGACAGCAAATTTTATATTGATACATATTGTTGTATAAAGCATATGAAGACAAAGATTCCTGCTGAGAAACTGACTTATAGTTCATTTCCAAAACAGAAAGCAAGAACTTCTAAAATGCAGTTGAGTTGATGAGACACACAGTGTATTTTTATTTATTTTGCTGGCAGTCTTGACACCACTCATTGCCAAGTTGTTCTGGAGTTTATTTTTCCCAAACAACTCCTTTAAAAAAACCTCTTTTAAGTGTTGAACACTCCATAGAATTATGGCATGGTGTCATCTTGGGACCTCTGCCTCACCAAAAATAGTGGCAGCTCCCTCAAAAGCAATAAGATGTGCTCCCATTACTTAGTGTTATGTATTCATCTGAATGATGTATTTGAGTCTATTAAGGTATCTATTTCTGTGGCATTCAAAGTGCAATATTCTTGTGATTTAAACAGCTTTTTTTTTTATTATAGTTGCTGCGTAAGAGTGCATTCGAGCCCTGTTGTACCAAATTGCAAGCTTATCCTTTGAGGAAAGTACTGCAAATCTGACTGAGGGACATCTGAAAATTCAAACAAGTTTTAACTTCAGGACAGCAACCTGTATTGCTGGAAAAGTACTGAAATTTCAGACTCTCTAAAATCTCTAGCTATTTGGAATTATGGAATCAACCAGGAGCATTAGTATTCCAAGAGTCTTTCTATTTGGAATTATGGCACCAACCAGCAGCATCAGTATTCCACAAGTCTTTCCCAAAACCAGGAAAGCCTTAACCTCAAAGAGAGTTGTGACCGCTGCCATTTCACTCCTCAGCTGTAGCCCTTACCTCTTTTCTACAAGTGTGAAGGAGTAAGAGAGTTAAAGAAGCAGTTACATTCCTTTGTCTTAGTCATCTCTTTTTCTTTTCCTATTTTGTTAGGTAGCAGACACCCAGGTCTTTTTATACTATTTAGTTTCCTAGTGTTTAAATGTAGCTTTATATTTCCAGATGTGCACGAATGTCTCTGAAAAAAAGAGGAGGGAAGGAAAGTTCCTGAGGCTTAGAAGTTATATATAACACTGCATAAAATTGCTCTTTAATATATTTTCTGGGGCCTCTGTTTGATCCTAAAAGACCTGAAATTGTCATCTGCAATTTCTGGTAAATAACTTCTGACAAACTTCTGCTTATCAGGAGTGTTCTTTTCTGAGACTGTGCTACACATGATGGCACTCAGGAGGTGAGATTAGGATTTACTCATTACTGAGGAAGAGGATCCAAAGAAGAAGGCTAGATAATTGGCTCTGAAATGGTGGTTTCACCATTGAATAACCCAGCTCGGTGCTACGTTTCTCTCTGGCTCTGGAAAAATTTGCTTTTTGAAATTTCTAGCTAAACAGACATGTGCTTTCATAGAACCTCAGAGATCATAAACACTGTGGGTTTTCATCAAGTTGGCAATTTGGTTCCATTTTGATCCAGTGCCGCAGTCAATTTGTTGACTTCATTTTGATTTGATGTCTGTAATGCTCCACTTTTACTTTCGTGGAATATTAATGCTAGCTAGGCTTTGATTTCACAGTTCTATTTTAGTTCAAGTTTCTTAACAAAATGTATTGAACTGATCCTTCAAACGGGATTTTCAAAAGTGCCTAATCTGCACAATTTGTTTCAGTATGCAGCATCACTGCAGAGTCTTTGAAGACGTGGTTAAGTATGAGCTAGTCAACCCAAAACACCAACTAGCTCTCTGTGCAGGAAGGAGTTTGCTCAGTACAGCAGTAAGCATAATAAAACCATCATCCAATAGAGTATGTATTTGTGAGGCAAAAAGAAAACGAACCCAACTTTGTTTCCTTTTTTCTTTTTTTTTCCTTTTTTTTTTTTCTTGAGAGCAATTTTTTTCTAATGTCTAAGACAGAACAGAACTTCCATCCTTAAATACCGTGAGTCATCCAAGGAGGCTTCTGGACAGAGAAAAGGGGTATTTGCACACACAGATGTGTGCAGCTGAGGGTCCAGCTAGTGCACTTGTGCCACCAGCACTGCAAGAGGACACAGAAGGCTGTGCTCTCATGCACCACCTGCAAGAATTTATTTTTTCTGCCTGACAGAGACCAGTCCTTTAAGTTACATGCCTAACACTGGGTTGGGCAAAGACTCCACAGAGCATGCAGAAATGCAAATGCAGTTTCTGCATTCAGCTGAGGGTTTTCTGAGGGGAGGCATTGCTGAACTGTGAGTAAAACACATCATAGAGTGTTTTGTGCCACTTCTTTGCTTCACAGTGAAGGACATGGAGGAATTATTAAGGTCTGCATACATAGCTCCCTACATTCATCTATAAAATCGATCACACTGAGTACACTCATCCCACCGTTGGTGGCTGAGTTGACAGGATGACTGCAATTTTTACATCTTCACCCTGTGTTTGAACTGTGAGGTAGTCTCATCTACACTTTTGCACTGCATTTGGAAGCACCTCACAGCTAAAGGAAGGCTAATTCAAAGCTAAGGCTTTTCACAGCTCTCAATACTCTCATCCACTCCTGTCTCAACTTGATTTTTTAAAGATGGAAATTGCAAAATGTTCATGGCCTTAAGATTGTTTCATCTTTTCAGTCCAATTGCTCTTTGGCTTTCTGCAGGCTCTAAAGATTTTTACTCTATTACTATGCTGAAAAGCTAAGTTAGGGCTGCCACAGATTATCTTTTTATCAGTTAGTTTTAATCTGGACTTGCCACTCATCATCCTCAGTTCACTCAGCTCAGACCAAGCATCCACTTCTCTGAGTAACAGTTACAGAACCACAGAATCCCAGAATGGGTAAGGTTGGAAAGGACCACTGTGGGTCATCTAGTTGAACCTCTCTGCTCAAGTAGGGTCTGCCTAGAGCACATTGCACAGGTTTGTGTACAGACAGTTCTTGAATATCTCCAGTGAGGGAGACTCCACAACCTCTCTGGGCAATCTGTTCCAGTGCTCAGTCACCCACACAGTAAAGAAGTTCTTCCTCATATTCAGGTGGAACTTTCTGCCCATTGCTTCTTGTCCTATTACTTGGCATCACTGAGAAGAGCCTGGCTTCATCCTCTTGGCACCTTCCCTTCAGATATGTATAAACATTGAAGAGGTCCCCTCTCAGTCATCTCTTCTTGAGGCTGAATGGGTCCAAATTCCTCAGCCTTTCCTCATAAGAGAGATGCTCCAATCCCTTAATAATTTTTTTAGCCCTCTGTTGGACCCACTCCAGGGGTTCCATGTATCTCTTGTACTGAGGAGCCCAGAACTGGACATAGCACTCCAGATGCAGCCTCACAAGGGCTAAGTAGAGGGGCAGTATCACTTTCCTTGACCTGCTGACATACTTATGTTGGCATGTTCTCTCTGTAAATCAATGAAATCATCTCAGTCTCTGTGGGAAAGCAAATTTACCTGATAAACAGTTCATTTTGTTCCACCAAGGACTCGTAGGGGTTAACTGATGGAGATTATTGTAGGAAACATTTTCCCATCTCCTGATATGTCCAACTTCACTTTCTTCAAGTGCTGATCCTCTTCTCCTACCTGCCTCTCAACACTTCTCCCCACTGACTTCACAGGCCTCTTTGCTGCACCCCATTCACAGGCTGCCTCCCCTCCCTCTCCAAGAGGCCTTTCCCAACTACTTGCCATATGCCTGGCCCCACCAGTCAGTGCTGCACCTCTCATAATTTTGTATTTTTCAGCTCCCACAACCAAATGATTAGGTAAGAATCTTGGCTTACGGTTTTAAGTAAGTTTCCTAGACCTCATGGTAGCAAAGAGAAACTTAAAAACATGACTCAAGTGCACCCCAAAGGCTAAGAAACCTGAAGGCAATAAACCACACCCTAAACTTATTTTCTTTTTAAAATCTCAATTTTAAGTTTTTACCCAATCTCAGGCCTTTCTCAGACTTTCCTCATGATTTGTGAACATCTGGGATTGGCAGTGCTGCAGTCTGAGCACTCAGGTTGGAACACATCATCCTCCAGTCCAGCTGCTCCCTAGGGTCCACTTCCCACCGGTCCCACCAGAATGCATCTCCTGAAATGACCTTCTAAGATGCACCAGGGACTCCAGAGGGTCACATGTTGAGTCACTGCATTGCCTCAGCTGCTGCTTCCCCACTGCTATCTTTGGAAAAGTTAATGACCATGTTGGTTTTCTGAGCTATCCCAGAGAGAGTGCAGTTCTTTAGGCAAGCACAGATATCTGGAAGCAGGAGAAAGAGGTGTGATCAAATCCATGTGTTTTCTGTTCCCAGAGGAGTACATATTCAGCCTTCAGCAGCAAAATCCTTTTCACTTGTTTTTCCTCTACATAAGAGCGATTCCAGGCACTCCTTCAGCTTAGTAAACAACCTGAGGTTGGATTTTTCCAAGTAACTAGCTTTTGTTTCTTTTGTTGTAATTTCAAAACATACCAGGCCCAGAATAAAGGTTTATATAAGACTTGACCATCAAAGATTATTGATTTCCTACCTAACAAACATGGCATTTCACTCCAGTTGCTTACCCTGTTTTTCCTCTGTATCTTATTCTGCTTTCAGATCCCACTTTCACACTAGGCAGACGAGCCTGCCTCCATTATTTCACCTCTAGCCCCAGTAAGTTCTTATATTTTAAAGTTAAATTGACTTTTCCCTCTCTTCTGTGAACACTGTCACTTGGTCTTCTGGCCACACAAGTTCGCCCATGACAGCCAACAGAGTTTGCAAAGTACAAAGTATATGTTTTGTAAGAAGCCTGAAGAATGCTGAATTCTAATGAAACAAGGCCAATGTAATAAAAAGCACTGAAATTCAGTGCTGATGGTAAGAACATCCCTGTTAGGCTTAGCCCTGCTGCGATGAGAACTGCAGGGGTTATTAAATGCGTCTTCCTTCTTAATAGTTCCATTGATGGTTTCGGTAGTGATACAAAAGTTGCTACCAGGTGTTAGATAAAAATAGCTAAATACAGTATGGTCACAACAGTGCTGATCAATGTGGGTTATGACAAAGAGTCAGATTTCCCATCTTTGGTTTACTAAGGGTTAGCTGATTCATAAAAGTTACTTGAAATCGGAAATAACTTTTTCTTTCATCTCTGCACTGTTGCTGCTCATGATCCATTAGGATAAAACCAAATAATGTATTTATTATTAATAATCAATATAAACATACCAGAAAAAACAAAGCCCTGTTATCAGAAAAAACAAAGCCCTGTTATTTCAAGGTAGGGGTTGAAGCTTAAAAATCATTGAAGCCAGTGGCTTTGTTGTTGGTTGAATAAACAAATTATTGGAAAACCTGAGAGGGCTCCAATAAGAGAAACCCAGAGATCCTAGGCTGGGGTCCCAGATGATAGGAGATGACTTGGGGAATCTCATCTTAAAAAAACTAATTTCTTGGGGACCAGGCAGAAAGGCTGCATCAAACTAAATTAGACACAAGAGCATATCAGAAAATCTGCAGGTCCTCTGCCTACTAAGCAAATGTCTAACATGTGCCATACACAAAGCACATCAAATAATTAATGAAAGCCTTGATTTTGCTACTTACCTTGTGAAAAATATGTTTTCTGTCACTGAAAAAAATCAAACTCATGTGAAGACTTTCTACATACGAACTACAGTGACTTCCTCCTTAAACCTATACTTCCTTAGATATTAAGTGGGGACATCAGGAAATCACCTTGTTACTGCAGGTTGTTGGCTACTGAGAATAGCTTCAGTGGAACCTACACAAAGGTTTTAGAAGATCCTCAAATGGAGGCAGACAGCTGAAGGAGGGTTGGGCTGGGAAGGAAAATATATGGAGAAATGAGACTGCAGCCTGCTCCAGTTACTGCTTGATTTGTGAAGATAGCAGAGCCTTTTCTTAATATATGCTTTTAGGCTAGGATTGAAACACTCAATAAAAATATACCTGGAGCTAACAGACAATTAGCTTTTATTGCTACTGCTTTTTGTCTGTCAGTACTCCTTAGATTAACTGCTTTATTTTTATTCCAGTATTT